ATCATCATCATCATTATTATTATTATCATCATCATCATCATTATTACTATCATCATCTTCATCAACATCGTCAATATTATAACCGTTATTATTATTGTTGTCATTATAATTGGCAACATCACTATTGTTAAAGTTATTGTTTTTGTTGCTATCGTAATCATTGCCCTTATAATAATCGTTATTTCAAATTTTATTATTTTTATAATTATCTCTTATAATAACACTGATGCTATTTTAAATGTAATTTCTATACTCATCAGTAGAATAAACAGTATCATTAACATCATTATTATTATCAATAATATTAACATCAATATTGAATTTAGTATCATTCTAATTATCTTTTTCATGATTATCATTATCATTATTACGATTAACATCATCATTAAAACAATTATGATTTTTTTTTATGCGAACATCATTCTTATAATTATTCTCATCATTTTAAATATCATTAACATCATTATTATTGTTTCTATCAACAACTCTAATATCTTCAGTATCAGTATTATCATTGATGTTATAATTTTTCATATTATTCTTAACAATGGTAACAAAATTAAAATCATTTTAATCATTGTCATTATAATCTTTATTTTAATCATCATTATAATCATTATAATTAATAACAACATTACTACCATGAATAAAAATTTTATTACCACCATAACTATTATTCTAATGATAAGCATCGGCAATAATAAAATTACTATTCTAAGTATTATCATTATCAACATTAAAATAATGATTATTATCGTCTTCGATATAACCATGATCATCATCGTTATCATCTTACACTTTATTATTATTATTATTATCTCCATCAACAATTTTGTTGTCAACATAGACATTTATATTACATTTNTTATACATATTATAACAATTATTGTTATAATTATTGACATTATCGTTTAAATCCTTACTATTGTTATTATTATTTATGTATTTATCATTATCATCACTATTGTCATCATGATTATTATAATCAACATCGTCATCATTATCATCATCATTATCATCATCATTATTATCACCATCAAAATTATTAACACCAATATTATCACAGTTATTACTTTTTATAATACTAATATTATTATCTTGATAATTGTAGTCGTTATTATCATCCATATGAGTATCATTATTATTGTTATTGTCATTATTGTCATTGTGTTATGATCACATCATCATCATTATCATTATCATCATTATTACCATTATCATCATCATTATTATTATCATCATCATTATTATCATCATCATCATTATCATGATCGTCTTTATTATCATCATCATCATCATCATTATCATCATAATTATTATCCTCATCATCATTATTGTTATTGTCATTATTGTCATTGTGTTATGATCATCTACATAATAATTATTTTTACTATTATTATCATCATTCTTTTTATTATTTCTAAATTATAAATATTATTATTTTTGTTACTATCATTATCATGTACAATAACTTTGTTATTATCATTATCCTTGTCATTATAATTAAAATTCAAAATGTAATCATCAACATCACTATCATTTTGATCTTTTTTTCTTTAATTATTAAAATGACTATCCTAAAACTATTGTCGTCATGAATTTTAATAGCATCATCTCAAGATGAAACTTTTCATTATTATTAACATAATTCTTAGCATTATGATTATTAATATATAAATACACATTGTTATTATCAACATTATCGCCTTTATAACTAACTCTATTATTATCATTATTATTATTAGTAACAGTAGCCTTATTGTAATTATTGTTATAATANTCATACATTGCGGTAGTAAGAAATCGTACAAATTATTGGAAAAATAATAAAAAACATTAAAAATCAAATATTATTAAGAACAAATACACTTTATTTTAAATATTGCTTTCAACAGTAAACAAAATGTGCGAAACAAAAACATAATTGGAAATCTCTTTATACTTTCATCAACTAATGTCAGCAGATGACGTTACATGCAAAAACATCATCCAAATGTAATGTGTCTAACACAAAATGTAGTAAACCAGATTTATTTGTAACTGTAACATGCAATCTTAAATAAAACGAGTCTAAAAGTATTTTCAAAAATTCCTGAAAAATGATACACAAAATATCACTGAAAGATAATTTTATCAAAAATTACAGCTTGTTTTAGAGGACGCAACAAAAAGTAACATTTTTGATCGAGTTATTTTGTATACACACTATACAGCTTAAAAGCAGAGGTTTGACACATGCGTTCATTTTCAAAACGTTACATCCTGGTGAGAAATTATTAAATGTATAAAATGTTGATGTTTTTAAATCTGTTAAAATATCTTCCAAAGAGAAAGTTTTGAAAGTATCAGTTACAAAACACATTTTACATGCTCCTTATATTAAGAATGATCCGTGCCAAAAAACAAAGGAAGAGCTTTGTAAAGAAAAATTTCTAAAACTATTTGAAATTTAAATCATCTTGAATAAAAAAGTTATCTTAAATGAAAGAGACTGAGTATTGTCTCCGATTGCATTACGCACAAAATAAGAAATTCTAAAAACAAAATTTTGTAAATAATTGTTATATTGTATCGTTTAAAATCATCATTATTTCTTTCAATATTATTTATATAGTTATCATAGGAATTATCGTTATCATAAAAATCGTCATCATTATTATTAATATCATTATTAAAATCATCACTACTGTCATGTTATCTTTAATGTCGTTGGGATGAGAATCTCTGATCCTTTCTTGCAGCCCATTTTGTTTGGCTTTTGACTTAAAGCAGTCAAAGAACAAATGTTCCTAGTCATCTTTAGCGTTGCCACAGTACTTGCACGCAGTTGTCTGTGTTTTTCACATCTTGTTGAGGTACGAGTGAAAATACCCGTGATTTGAAAGGAATTGTGTGAGATAGTAATCTTCTTTAACATGTTTTTGCTTAGTCTATTTCTTGGCATCTTTTATCAGGTGGGCCGTCCATCTACCTCTAGTTTCCTCTTGCTATCTATGTTACTAGTGTTTACAGATTTTTTCCTGGGCTCTTTTCTTGGCATCCATTCTTCCTAAGTGCTGCTCCGTGAGGTGCTTCAATCGTCGCTTCCTCGCAAGGAGGTCGATGGGGATTACGCTAGCTATCACTATTGTAGCAGACTTCGAGACTGTGCGATAGGTGCAGGTCATCCTTGAGGCTACTATTTTTTGAACTTGGTTTATTTTTACTCTCTTCTTCTTGACGTTTATTTCATCTCCCTATATCTTAGCCCCACATAAAATAATAGATATGTGAAGCCTGCGCTTTAAAGGTTTTGGTCCCCGAGCGTTTAGCATGATTCAGTTTATTACTGCAACTCTTACCATCGCCTTGTCTGCTGCTTGCATAAGGTGACTACGGAACGTGAGGTTTCTATTCAGCGTCACCCCTAATTATTTTACCGCATTTTTCCTAATTACTTTTTCTTTGTACCTAAAGGGGGATGATAGTATCTATTTCTATCTTTGTCAGTAGCACCATCTCCATCTTTTTTGTTGAAAACTCGAGCCCATGGTTCTCCATCCATGGAACCACTCTTCGCATAACCTGGTTAAGTCGTATCTGGACAAGTTCCATCGTGCGTTCAACGATTGATACAGCAGCATCGTCTGCATACCTACCAAGAACATCCCCTCTGGCATTTCCTGGAAAAGCAGTCCATCATATAGTACGTTCCAAAGATTGGGTCCAAGTATGAATTCCTGGAATGCCCCTGCTGTTATTTCCTTCTTTGTTTTGCCTTCTGCTGTCGTATAGGTCAAAAAGCAGTCCGTAAGACAATCTCTTAATTTTCTCAAGAGACAGTCTGGTGTTCTGAATGTGTGTTTGAGAGCGTAAAGCATGTCCATCCGTCTTGCTGAGTTAAAAGCGTTCTTTACATCTAAGATCACCAGCAGAACAAGGGGGCTCGCTCCATGGCATATGTGTCTGGTGCTGTGGACTGCTTTTACTAATTTTTCTGCTGCTCCTATGGTAACCTTTCTTTTCTGAATCCATACTGCCTGTCGGATAAGTCTCCCACGTTCCGTATGGCCTGTAGAAGACGGGTCTTAAGCAGCTATTCGTATAACTTTCCAGACGTGTCCAGCATGCATAACGGCCTGAGTGATGACGGACAGTTAGGCTCACCCTTGACTTTATTGATCAGTATCAGCCATGCGTTCTTCAAGGGAGTTGGGAAAAATCCCTTCTTCAAACATGCATTGTATAGGTTTAAGAGCAGTTGTGGGTGTTTTGCCACCGCTGTCTTGCTAACTTCTGCTGGTATGCCATCTGGTCTAGAGGCTTTTCCGTTTTGAAGCGATCCAGCTGCTATTTCAGTTCCTTCTGAGTGAATAAAGGTACATCCTCTATGAGCTCCAAGTCTGCTCGATCCTTGAGTTCTGCATGAGTCGGGAATAGCGTATCCACGATATGCCTCATGGTATCAAAGTCTTTGTTTGCAGTTGGTGCCAGTCTTCCCAGTTTCTCCATCACTATCTGGCACGATCTGCCCCAAGGATCGTTATTAACTTCCTGGTACAGAATCTGCCAGCACTGCTTTTTGCTGTTCTTAATAGCAGCTCACCTCGTTTTTCTTGTAAGCTGGTACTCGGCGTACCTTTGTCCAGCTTATTATTATCATCATTACCATCATTATTATGATAACTATAATTAATCTCATTTTTATTTCTATTATTTCTTCTTTTATCATTAATACTACCAATATCATCTTAAACTTTAATATCACTCTCTTTGTTATTAGCTTTTTGAAATACATTGTCAACCACCATTTTCAGCATTCTATTCTCGTTAACATTAACGTTATCTGTACCATTGTACCACACATTATTTTATTATCATCATTTTTTATATCATCAACACTTTTTTTTCTATTGTTATTTTCTTTATTGTTATTATGTTGATTGGTTTACTATAAAAATATTAGCTTCTAATTTGAATTTCATGCTCATTTTATAAATAATCAGTTAATAATTTCACAGGTATCTGCATACGACATGGATAATGATCTGGAGAATCAAATTGTATATCATATTGTGGATGGAAATCAAGATAATGCTTTCATCATAACTCCACCATACAGTGGAATTGTACGTACTAATATTGTTCTCGATAGAGAAATAAAAGAAGAATATTATCTAACTGTTATTGCTACTGATAAAGGCGATCCACCATTAACGGGAACTTCTTATATAACTGTGCAAGTTGTTGATATTAACGATAATCAGCCTACATTTCCAGAATTAGATGTAATTACAATTTTCGAAGGTAAAAAGTTTTATTTTATTTAAACACTGTCATATTGTTTATCTTGGATATCATAGAAAATTGCTTGACGTTATTTTATAAAAGACAGTACGTTGAGAAAGATTTTTGTACCATTATTTTTATTGTTATTTAAATGTATTCATTTTATTACTATCATAACTGTCCTGTAACAATACATTCTTTTCGTCATCGTTGCTTTAAGCCATTGAATGATTTTAGAGCTATGTTTAAGAATTGACAAATAACGATCCTTTTATATTGAAGAATTAAACTATGAACAGCTTTTTTTTATAAATTATTTTACTAAAATTTAATATTTTTACCTGAGTTATGAGTTTTTTGGCAAAGAAAAAGAATACTTACAAAGCAGTTAGCATAAGCCGATTCTTAAATAAACTCAAAAAATCCAAATAAATAAATTTTAACGACAGTCAACAGTGGAAGCAGCCTAATTGAGGGGAATATATTATATAAACTTTCCCCTTGGCTAAATACGTTCTTACTCTTGGGCTGCTTGGATCATTTTTTTTCTGTCCTTCTCACAAATTTATAATTTCTTTGTCGGAAATATGCGGTTGTTTCGAAATAAAAGTTTTGACAAAATCATTTATTACGCAAAATTTATAAAAAGCAGTTTTTGTCGTTTTTCTTGAATGTCGAGGTCTTGTCAAACATTTTGCTTATTGATGTACGCTCTCGAATAATTTTTAGATGGACAAGTTACTTTAAAATCATAGGGTCATATAAATCTCAAAATACAATAATATTAAAACTTTTTAGAGAAACAACTACAGCTTCCATTGGTATAGCTATAAATATTTGAAACTGAAAAAGTAGCACGATCTATTCTTAGGGTGCAGGAAATCTTCTGCGATAGATTTAGCAATTGTCATTAGCAGTTTAAGTTCCTCTTCAAAAACTGCAAGGGTGCTTTTTCGTATATCTTACGTTATCTGTACATGAGGAAGCCATGTTACATTCACTGCCAGCCCCGTAACTCACACTTTTCAAAACAATTCTTAATAGCAGGGCATCCTGTTAAGAGTCAGATAATCCAGCTTAAATGATATTGTCTCTTTTATCTGGTTGAATTTTAGTTTTCAGCCATGAAAGTATGTAAACATGAGATAGACTTCATCTTTGCCATTTGATATTGTATATTTCAGCATCAACTTTACTGTTTATTGCTTTCTCAGTGAGAACATTTATATTTTTGTTTTAAACGAAAAAGCCTTCAAACAATATCGTGTTTGCCTGAGTTTTTAATTTTTGTGTAACTTATTTTTTATTTCTGACATATAAGGGTTACATGTAAAGGTGATGTATCAACATGGAAGTCTGGATCCAAATACGTAAACTGTCGTCTCTTTCGTTTTTTGCATATATCTTGGTGATCCAGTCAATGAGCACAGTAGCATTAATAAACATTTGATGTTAAATAGTTCAATGTGACGATTGTTTTTTACTGCATTTTGTGGATAAATGTATCTTTCTGCACGCAGATATTTTTAATGTTCTTGCAAGCAGAGCTAATGCTTTGTAATCACGTTGCCCATCATATCAACAGCAAATTGATTAAATAAATTCTTATGATAAAGCAGATAGTTAAAGCTATTAGTTCTTCATATCAGCCTATAAGAGTATAATTACATGCAAGAAACAGTTATGTTTGGAAGATTGTGAAGTAATATATCATTGGAATATCCACTTTCTTTGAAAACAAACATAAAAATATATTGGAATTAGTCATATAACCAGTAAAAATCAGAAACTTGCTCCAATCACCTATGTCTACACCTATGTCTACCATATGGAACAATGTCTTTAGAATCATTTTCTTTATCAACTATAAGTGCAAGAATTTTATTGTTCCTAAAAGCATTGTATTGTCCTCAATGCTCAACAGCAGAGGCTTGGTTAGCATAAATGATTAATTTCAAGTTTGCAAGTTTCTCTACCATTCCAAATTCATAATTAAATTATCATTTATTATAAGAGGATTGCAACCATGCATTATTTATTGTAATCCTTCTATAAAGTTTTTTTAAAAACATCATCTAAATAAATTAAATCTTATGTTGCTTAAGAAATGAATTATGTTTACTGAGTGGAGAATTGTTGAGTGTTATACACTTTATTTAAAATATTTTAAGTTTATTAGTATCAAATGTTTTTTTTTTATTCTCGATATTTCTTGGAATATAATAATTCTTGTTCAAAAAGTTTTTTGTTGGAATCCATGCAGTTTTAGTCTCATAATAAGCTGTAAAAAAGTTAAAAAAAGTACGATGATGATAAAAAGTTTAGTGCGTTGCTTACTCCCAAAAATAGTTGTCCAACCAAAAAAAAGGGCCACTGACTTACACATCTTACGTTATAATATGGAAAAAGAGATATTCGTTAAAAATGTAAGGACTTAAAACTAACTTGAAGTTTTTCTAGCTATCAGAAAATATTACTACTACCAGAGCAACAAGGTCCGAGACCCTTTTTTCTCTGTTTTTTAGTGCTACTATAAATACAAGTACATATTACTTCACCTATTAAAATAACTGAAAGATTTAAGTAATCAATGTTAGGGTTATAATGGAAAGCTTATCTGTCATTAAATAAATTATTAATGAGCTGATTCTGATGCTGGCCTTCTTAAGTCTGTTGGTGGACAAATCGCTGGCAGAATTAGTTGTATAATAGATATGCAATAAAACGTTCAAAAGTAGTCACCAAAATTGTATTGTTCACAAGGTATGATTTTGACGCTGCTGTTTTAATCTGGATAAATATTTTGCATTTATTTCTCGACTCTTAAGACTGTAAATATTTCAAGCATTCTAAGCAGTCCTTTGTAAGATAGTTTAATGTAAGATAGCTCTAAAATCGATCAGTAAGCTGAACTCTTTCTTGAATCACGTTTCTAGCCAAATTTCTGGATATTTTAGGGTGGTCTTCTCTGGCCTACTGTTCTAGTACCAGACTGGCTGGAAGAAAAGTCACGATACTTAAAAGTGTTGATGCTAGTTATTGTGCTCTTTACTAGCGTCTCCTGGAGTTATGCCGTAGACGTTGGCGTTGAAAGCACTTTTTTTGGTGAAAATTTGTCATTACAATAATAAAAGGTGTCACTTGCCTATTAAAGAATGTCCCATTTGAAAAAGGTTGTTTCTCCTTTATAGCTTTGCTATTAGGTTAACCAAGCACAGACTTCAGAGATGATCAGTGGTTCTTGATTGAGCAGCTCTATTCTAGACGTACTGCTAGTAAATGACTGTCGTAATTATTCTCAACAAATGTTATTACTAGACTTACTGACGTCAATTCTAGGTGATTTTGATAAATTCTGATGCCACCTAGCAGTTTCTATTGAACTAAAACATGAAGCTAGCATATTTTTACAAACTATAACGGTTATTTGTTAGTATTTAAAAAAAATTTTAAAAACCTTGTAAAAATTATCTAAAAACTATTATAAATCAGTATGCGAAATTCTAGCAAAATTGATTGCATGGTTTTCGTGGTTAGTGTTACTTCATCACATATACTTAAATATGTTATCATGATTTGCAGATTGAATCGTATTTCTCTTATTGTTTTTAATAAAAAATCTAAATTTGATTACAAAACACTGACAAAAAGCATAAATGTAATAAACTAATTCAGATTTTAGTATTACTAAGTAGATTATATATCTTCCAGACTTTTTACTAAAAAATTTTTCCCATTGTTAAATACCAGGAGATTGACACAATTTTTTTTAATTCATACATTGCGGTAGTAAGAAATCGTACAAATTATTGGAAAAATAATAAAAAACATTAAAAATCAAATATTATTAAGAACAAATACACTTTATTTTAAATATTGCTTTCAACAGTAAACAAAATGTGCGAAACAAAAACATAATTGGAAATCTCTTTATACTTTCATCAACTAATGTCAGCAGATGACGTTACATGCAAAAACATCATCCAAATGTAATGTGTCTAACACAAAATGTAGTAAACCAGATTTATTTGTAACTGTAACATGCAATCTTAAATAAAACGAGTCTAAAAGTATTTTCAAAAATTCCTGAAAAATGATACACAAAATATCACTGAAAGATAATTTTATCAAAAATTACAGCTTGTTTTAGAGGACGCAACAAAAAGTAACATTTTTGATCGAGTTATTTTGTATACACACTATACAGCTTAAAAGCAGAGGTTTGACACATGCGTTCATTTTCAAAACGTTACATCCTGGTGAGAAATTATTAAATGTATAAAATGTTGATGTTTTTAAATCTGTTAAAATATCTTCCAAAGAGAAAGTTTTGAAAGTATCAGTTACAAAACACATTTTACATGCTCCTTATATTAAGAATGATCCGTGCCAAAAAACAAAGGAAGAGCTTTGTAAAGAAAAATTTCTAAAACTATTTGAAATTTAAATCATCTTGAATAAAAAAGTTATCTTAAATGAAAGAGACTGAGTATTGTCTCCGATTGCATTACGCACAAAATAAGAAATTCTAAAAACAAAATTTTGTAAATAATTGTTATATTGTATCGTTTAATTTTCCATTAACTAAATATGAGTACTATATAAATGATGAGCACCGTGCAGTAGTACAAAGTACGAATTACATATATAATTGTATTTTTAGTGGAAGTGATAGTACATTTCTTTTTTTTTAAAGAAAATACAAGTCAGAATATTCATGATAAATTTACAAAATATTTTTTTCCGTAAGACTTTATTTCTGAGTTCAATGCTTACTCTATTGTGCAATTAAGCCATGAAAAACTGACTTTATTATTTTAAGTACAAAAAGTCCCACTCTAAAATTATCTTTTTTATTTTTAAATCATAAAATACTGTGACGGTTGAGATTACGAAAACTTTCAATATGTAGTTGAAGGCACACAGTGACTAATTTATTTTTTTATCAAAAAAATAGAGAAACATTTTGTCGAAGTAACCAAATTGGAAAAATCTACAAATAATTCTTTCACTGTCTA